TGACAGAGGGCAAAACATGTTGCTTTTAGGCCAGGATGGTCAGATTGACATGTAGATATAGCTAGACATCTGACTACTTCCTGAACTTTAGCTCTGGACCAACTTTCTGTAGTTGAAGCTTTATTTGGGTGTATCAAGATTAGTGGCAACAGAGTCATTGTAATCTGGCTCTGTTCTGGAGTGCTTCTGGATCCTTTTTCTGTAATAAGAAATAACATACTACATACATAATTGACTTGAGGTGGCATTTAATGCAAACTGGTGCATTTAGGCTCTGTGGGTCAGGCTCTGTAAGGAGGGAAATTCTCTGCTACCGTTAGCTGTACCTGCAATATTATTGCCTGATTGCTTCAGTGGATTACAGTAGGCTTCTGGATTAATCAAAAGTCTACAATAGCAGAAGGTAGGTCAGTTTAGTCTGCCAATGTGCAAAGTTACCAGATTCAGTTTATATGAATATTTGAGAAAGCTAATTTTCCAGTCCTGACAACTGTTCTATCAACAACCAAGATGCTATTGAGCAAGGCACTTAGCTGTCATCTGTACCAGTGGACCCTCTCAGTAGAGGTCTTGGGCAGACCTGAACCTCTAAAAACCTGAGAACCCGACACAAGTCAGGTCTTTGTAGGGTCTGACTTAAAACATCAACCATTTTCTACAATTATTTTACAATGACTCTCCAAGCAAAGCTAAGTGCTGTGGGTGGTTTTATCTATGACTTATTACTATATACTTATTTCTTTGTGCAGTGGCATGTATTTTACAGAATTCAGGAGAAAATGATAACTTTGACTTGCAGTTTGTGTGGTGTTTTCACTGCAAGGATAGGATAGGGATATACTGCTGTAGCACAATCTGATTTTTAATGCATTGAGTTTCGCGAGGTGAAAGAGAAACTGTGTGAAATTAGATTTGTTTACAAGTCTATGCTTTGTTATAATGTACCAAGAGTCCATCTTTGGTGTGAGTAATGGCGGGAATATACATTATATCGGGCAACTGCTTCTTTTACCACGTGTAGTGTATTAAAGTGGACAACAGTCAGTGCAACCAACAAAAAGCCTAGTGGGTTAAGAGTTTTGGCCGGACTTCACTGTCCCTGACTTATTGAGTGACGTTATACCATTGGTCGGTCAAGAGTTGGAGTTTACTCATTTGCTGTTGCTTTCAAAATGAATAGCGAAAAACAGTCCTCGTTATTTCCTCAAAAGGGCTTTTGCAGCAGTTCCACTAATTTCAAATCTACTGCACACTAAGAACATAATATTCTGCTGGTACTGGATGCTACTATCTGAAGACTAAAGATTTCTGCTTCATTAGAAGTTCTTTTCCAAATCAAAAATCTTAAGAGGGGTAAGTATTGTTCTTTCCATCTCCATTTCTAAAAGGTTTTGACTCAAATGTAGCTTAACCATGTCATGTGATATGCTACTTCAGTACACAACAAATTTTATTGGGACCACTACAGAAAATGCAGATGAACATTTAACATCCAGGAATTCACATTACAGACACTACCACTATCTGTGTGGCCACAATTTAGCACAATGACCATAGACAGTCCAGCTATATACTCTCGGCCTAGTCTTGTTTTGGCCTTCTCTTGCCAAGTTTGACAACTTCTAGTTTATTTTCTGTGTGTGAAAATTATGAAGTGTATAAGAGAAATTAAGTTATTGGTTCTGCCGTGTAAAAAACAACAAGCCATGAATCTATGATTGCCTGGTCTGACAGAGTGACCATCTCAAAGGACTAATACCAGTCCTGGCATAAGTCACACAAGTCCTTTTTCAGTTGGGTATATATTTCAAGACCCATGAAGACCTCTACAGGACAGGGCTAACAATAAAGAACTGTGCTTTTATCGGTTAGCTCCCACTATGGCCTCTTTCTATTGACACCATAGGTAACACCTGTATTTCCCTTGCTGATCTTTGTTTCCCTATAGTACCAGTACTATGTCATATGTTTTTCCCTTTATATCCAATCCCAGTCTCAATGAGGAGGACTGCATATATTTTTCACAAATGGCTTAATTTCTGTGCACATTTTGTTTCTAACACGAAGCCATTTCATTTCTGATCAGTCTCTACAGTCAGTACTGTACACAGGAGTAGAAACTGCTACATTCAGTGAACGCAATACCTAGTCACAGTGATTCAAGCCTATCTGGTATTTCCCAAACCAGTCAGTAGCTCAAGTGTAATCTTGTATTTGACATGATAAGAGCTCTCTGAGTGGCTTCTTCACCCTCCCCAGATACATACTTCACTTGCTCTCAGAATCTGCCAAGCTTTCTCTGGGATACCAACGACTTCTGAGCAAGAGTTTTGTATGAACCGCTTGCATTTTATGTTATCCATTTCCCCTTTCCCTTCTCCCATCAGTCGTTTCCCTCCTCCTCATCTCCTTTGCTGCCTTTGCTGAGGCGCTGGAAGCAATGGACGGTGGAAGCGAGGAAGAAGCTGGCCATGATGGCCGCCACTGAGACAGAAATGCCAGAGAAGATGACGATGAGGTAGTCAGTGAGGGTGAGGGTACCACGGCACTCCCGGAAGCTGTCTTCAGAGAGCAAACTGAGGGGGACACGACGGCCATCTAGAGGCAGAGAGCACTCTATCCCCTCCATACCTGGGAAGAGAGAAGACAACAGGCACAGATGTCAACTGTACTTTCTCAAAGTCATTCCTGTATCAACAGCCTGCCTAAGAACTCAGTAACAAGGGTAAGTTGACTGTTCAGACTAAACAGAGCCCTGTCTACAGTTCCTGGCTGGGGGACCTGTGTTGCATGTCATATCCCTGTGTCTCTACTGGCTGACAAATAAAGGCAAAATGCCCCAAAATATAACAGATTCAGTTTGAAGGTTTACCCAATGTCAAGCTCTACACAACACAACATACAAAATGTGTTGCTACATGACATTTGTTACATGCTGAGCAGGGCTTGTGTGTGTTTTCTTCCTGCTTTCTATATCTCCCGCTACCCTGTGTTCTCTCCTGTGTTCTGTTCAAGTGCTAGCAGCATGATTGGTTTCCATTGGTGTGCAATCTGGTCTTCCTGCTCATTGGTTGAAAACATCTTAAGCTGGCCAATCATCATGCCAAGCCCTCAATAAAAATAGCCTGCCTGAGAGTAAAGAGCAAACTTGTTACAACAGTATTGAAGGTATGGGGTGGGAGGTTGAGGACCTTAGGTAAGTTTGGGGTACCCTTCACTTTTTTGCACTCACATAGTTTAATTTTGTCTAGAAACACTGGGTTTTTTTGATTGGTGCTGCCTTTGTGTTCTTTTTTTTGCTATATTGTTTTCCATTTTGTTTGGCACAATCTTGTCCAATCCTCCATATTGAGAACCTTTGCTGTATGTTTGCTAGTATTAAATTGTAATTCAATAGTTTTCATTGTCACTACTATTTTGACTCCTGCAACTTTGTCATGTTGTCATCTTTTATTTTTTAAAGTGACATAACACAACTGGGTGCTCCTCCGGGATCCTTTTTCCTGAGCTAAGACAATCATTGTTGTTTAGTTATTGTGTGTTCTAGTACTTACAAAATGTAGTTTAGATTTCCGGACTTTATTGATAATACAACTTTTGAGAATGTGGAGTTATGTTGCAAAGATGATTTATTTATATTGTTTGTTACAAAAGTTGAAGTAGGCTAAACTTTGTAATGTGTGCTCATTGAAATAAATGAGAAGGCTGCATTTTTTTCACACAGTACCAATGATGGTCTAAACATGGCTGACCTTCAGAGGTACATAATGTGAATTCATGGAGATAATATTGACTATTCGTGATAAAACAGAGTTTTTGCATCAAGACAGAATTACCATTTCCCTTTTCCAAACCAGTAAAGTAACCTGAAGTAAACCCTTGCTTGTAATCAGTGTAAATGATCCAACATTAGTTGGACCTAGGCATTCATTGCAATAGTGCTACAAACCAAGGGTTAAAACTGGATCTGACAATGACCGCTCTGAAAGACAAAACTCTGGTTTGTATAATACATATATATGTAATTCAATTTTATTTGTATAGCGCCAATTCATAACATAAGTCACTGTACCCTTTTTGTATGGTGATTATGTAAGTCACTTACATGTAATCCGCCTGACATCAACAGATATTTTATATGAACTTTAATTATCTTAGGTAAGGTAAGGGTTAATGATACGAAATGCCAAATGGTTGTCAATCAAGCTGTGGCCCTCTACTTTCATACTTAAAGTGCAACTGTTTATTACTAGACTAGCCATGGTCCAAAGTGTCGAGTACACTTTTCCCTCAGGTAAGCCTGTCACTCAAGTAGAGTAATGAATGCGCTCACATTGTGTCCTTGCTTCCTTGATAAACTACTGTAACAAATGATCTGATGGACTGTATCCACACCCCTCTGTTCCCTCTGTTCATTTAATAAGGCTGTTACAGATTGTGGGTCACCCTTAAGTAATATAGACAACCGCTTCAGTGTGTGCTGATGCTGCGGAGTGCTGAAGGTTTGTTCTTGTGGAGTTTCAGTGGAAAGAAAAGATTCAAGTGCCAGAATAATTAGGAAGTGGCTTGTTACTATTGAGATGTAATAAACAGAAGTTTCATTTGTGTAATTTGTGTTATGGTTAGGATACACGCTACTGGAAAAATAGAATCAAAAAAGGATCATTTATGCAGGATAAATCCGTTTTATGAAGGATCAACAGGTTCTAGTCCCTAATACAATTTAAATGCAAGAGACGAACAAGAAAATGATAATGCAGTATAATATCGAAAATATGTTGTCTATTAAAGATTTATGAGGGTAGATTATCAGGTGCAGGAGTGGAGGAGTAAGCCCAGTCCCCAGAGAGTGGTAAGAGAGATTATCTTTAAAGTCATCCTCTTAAATCCTCCTTTTCTGACATTTTTTAGACGTGAGTTTCCCAGCACATTGTTCCCCCGTCAGGTCTGAAAACTTTTCTAGCTATCTCTTATTAAAAACCTGTGCATCAGTGACTGACCTCAGGCGTCCGTCCTCTGCTGCGGCTCCTCCAGGGATGATCTTGGTGATGAAGATGCCGGGGTCGTCCCCGATGTGTGGGTTATCTGTCCCTCCGGCAATGCTGAAGCCCAACCCTGAGTTTCCCTGTGGCCATGGAAAGCAGTCAGTAACAACAGGGACTCACTTATTCTCCATGTAGTCTTCCTCCTGGCAACTGTTGAAGCTAATGTTAACGCAAAATACACACAATGCACATTTACTATGTTCTGTGGTATTTTCTTAAAGGACCAGTGTGTAGGATTTAGTCGCATCTAGTAGCGAAGCTGCAGATTGACTGAACACCACTCACGTCTGTATTTGATGGGGTGAAGGAGAAACTATGGTGGCCGCGAGACTTAATAAAAACATGGAACACCCTATCTACAGCCAGTGTTTGG